CCTTTAACTCTGCCACCACTCTTTTATTAGCTGCCGTTTTTCATTTATGTTGCCATACATACATATGTTAGGGAGGCCTGGTGGCTTAGCGGTAAGGAGTTGGGCTGCCAGTCTAACGGTAAGCGGTTCGAATCCACCATCTGCTCTGGGAGGAAACGTGGGCCTCGTGGTTGTTAGGATAGGTTAGGTTAGTGGACTTAAAGAAGAAATCAGAGAGAACGAGAGAAAGCTTAATGCAGCTTTATTAAAGGGGGAAAGGGAAGCTCCTGGGTGAGTTCCTCATCCTGGAGAGGCAGAATGGGAAGTCACACTGTGAACTTACTTGGAAGGATTTTTATCAACAGAATCTTTAGGGAGGGACATTCCACTCTGATTTACGAGCCACCTGCTAGCTTAGCTAGACAGGCAAGGCCAGTTTTCTTATCTTCAACAGCAAGGCCATTAGCATTTGAGTTCTAGAATTCTTCATTCTTCTCTTTGGCCCTCTTTGCCCAGACTAACACATGGCAACCAACCTTTCTCATTGTTAACTGTGTGTCTCTTTACAACGACCTTTGCTAGCAGCAGTACCAATCAATTTCTTTAAACCACACTCCACCAAAACACCTCAAGCCATTCCATCAGCCCAAACTGAGTGTTCCACCACTCAAGAACACATTCCCTTCTGAAAACCAAAGCCCGATAAGAAAGAACACTAAGCCCACTTGCATCTAACAGCCTCTGCATTGAAACATGAAAACTGTATACACAATGCCAGCATAAACAAGCACACTGTAGCTAAACCAGGTCAACACTTTTAATGTAATAAGACTCTATACAGAATTCAACCATAAGCCTTCTCCCAAATTAACTAAAAAAATTCATCTCTAACTTAAATTTCCCTTCTCTAAGACCAATAGTAATTATAAACATACTGTTATTAATCACTCCATGTCTCTTTAAGATTTTACTTCACAGGATCAAGACGATGACCACCTTAATTCTCACCTGGCCACTAATCCCAGACTGACTCACTCCAGGCTCTGAACCCCCAGATCGTCGCCCCTGTTCAGCAGGAAGTAGCCATAAGAAAGATACGTCACCCTGTTTTATCACTAAAAAGAGTCTAAGATGTTAGTCTGGGCAAAGAGGGCCAAAGAGAAGAATGAAGAATTCAGAACTCAAATGCTAATGGCCTTGCTGTTGAAGATAAGAAAACAGCCTTGCCTGTCTAGCTAAGCTAGCAGGTGGCCCGTAAATCAGAGTGGAATGTCCCTCCCTAAAGACTCTGTTGATAAAAATCCTTCCCAGTAAGTTCACAGTGTGACTTCCCATTCTGCCTCTCCAGGATGAGGAACTCACCCGGGGGCTCCCCTTTCCCCCCTTTAATAAAGCTGCATTAGGCTTTCTCTCGTTCTCTCTGATTTCTTCTTTAAGTCCACTAACCTAACCTAACCTAACCTAACCTAACCTAACCTAACCTAACCTAACCTAACCTAACCTAACCTAACAGTGGTGTGCTTCTGAAAACTCACTGTAGGGACATCTATGAATTGCATCTGACTTGATGCTGCATAACCAGACTTCTTCAATATGTCCATATGTTTAAAAGAGTAAATGAATTTTTGTATTTTTTTTGCTTAAGTCTTTCACTTTTGAATCCAGGAGGTCATGTGATCCCCTTCCGAAGGAGGCATAGGGAAATTATTGATTGGCATTGCCCCTGTGTTAGAATAGATGCATTGTTGACCCTCCAACGAGTTTTCTGAGGCTGTAAGTTTTGAGGGAGGATACTCTCCGTCTTTCTACTGTGGAGCTGTCAACAGATGCGCGGAAATTGGAAAGCAGACACCAGTGTGTTGACAAGTGAAAACACTGCCACTCACTGCGCATGTGGGAGGACATGTGTCAGCGTTGGGCGGGGATTTGTCAGTGGAGTCCTGAAAAGGTTTATGGTTGAGCTGGCATGTGATTTTAAATATTGAGAGTGGCTGTGCTAGTCAGGTACTAGGGTAACAGCTTCCAGGCAGCCTCATATTTACAGACAAGCGGAAGGTGTAGGGCTTTCTCCAGAGCAGATTCAATGAATGGAGATTCCATGATAGTGTGGTCAGCTTCAAGAGCAGAATATTCAGGCCCTGAAAAAGACAGCAAAACCACGTTTCCAGGTCCCTTTCATAACCCAGTCATCTCCAGCCTGCTTCCAAGTGATTTTGGTGGTCAATCCTTAGGGGAAAAAATGCCTTCGGGTATCCCTTTACAATATCCCGTATCTGTATTTAAAAATTGTTCCAGGAAACTTGTTGTTATTAAGCACCTTCGAGTCGCAGGCGACTCATAGCGACCCTATGAAGGAGAGTCCTCAATGCTTCCAGGAAACTTAAGAGTCAGCCAAAACCGAGTCACCCTTATATTTTCGCTCCTGCGAAAATGGCTAACCTAGATCAATCTGGTCACATGCAGCTTTGTAAGTAATGTCCAAACAGAAACACCCAGAACAATGCCCCCATCTGAAGAATTTTTTTTTTGTCAGCTGTGGTTATTGCACTGTTGGCAAATAATGAAATGTGTGTAAGTTAGAGACAACCACAGGGGGCCAGCTGGATGACCCTCAGAAGTCCCTGAACGGAATCAGTTACATTCTTAAAAAGAGAGGAATAAACAGAAGCATTTATATACGCGCATGCACATACCCCTGGCGCAGACATAACACAGAATGGGAAACAATAAGTTACTGGCCTCATTCCTGCCTGGATAGCAAGAAAAGGCTGTTAAAAGCTAAGTCTCCCTATGCCACCCACCACTTAACTTCTTAGTGGGCCTCTTTGTCTTGTGGCGGCCAGCCAACACCCGAGGCCTATACTTGTTTCTTTCTCATCCTTGGAAAAGATAAACTTAAATATTTGGCTTTTTACCAGAGAACTATATACAAGGGACATAGCCATACCAGACTCAGAGCTGGAAAACCGCTCCAGGTCCTGGGAGTCCCAGTGCATAGCACAAGCAACTCACAAGATACTCATCTTTATTAACTTACATAACTTTGTTCCTCCTGGATCACCCTTTAAAAAATCTTTTGGCTAGTGTTTCCTGTTTTGTAAAACACATTTACTTCTAATTTTTTTAAAATTTGAGAAAAACTTGTAAATTTGGTCTGTGACAATTGTGGTGTCTCAATATAAGAGATACGCAGGCACGTGCCTCTGGCAGCTTCCAGAAAATGGAGAAGTCGGGGTTTGGAGCCAGCACAGTTGATTGCTTTTGTTGTTAGGTGCTGTGGAGCGAACTACCACTCACAGAGACTTTAGGAACCACAGATGACATCTTGCCCTCTCCTGTGCCATTATCCTTTTCCTAGACTTTCTGTGGGTGCCTTGGTGAGCACTACTCAGATCTTTGAAACTATGTCTTGTATCTGAGGTTCAACCACCTTTTACTTATTTTCATTATTAACTTACAGTTTTATCTGGGCTCAATTTATTTCCACTCCCCCCCTCCCCCCCTCCCCCCAGTTTGTTTTCTACTAAAGATAAACACTCCAATTTCTTGGGTCTCATCTCTCAGGGGCTGATTCTACCGTTGCAGGAATTTGATCCCCTGTCTAGCGACTGCAGGCAAAGGAACAGCAGCTACAAGTGATTTTGGTGAAGCAAGGAAGACTTGTCAGTGGGGATGGGGGTAAGGGGCACAGACCACAATCTCTTAAGGGTCAGGCTCCCCGAAGGCAAAAATGTTCTTTTTTATATAGGCTTACAAGGTAGTGGTTGGGGTCTCTTTTTCTATTGGCTAGTTTTTACATTCGTTATGATTGGTTGGTTAAACCTTTTGGCTAAAGATCAGGTATGCAGGAAGAAAGGTCATAGGTTAAAATTCCCTCATTTGGTTACTGGGCAGTTAAGCTCCACCTGCTGGGCCAGTTTTCTGTTTTTCATTGCTGAATTTCTATCTCCCTAAAATGGGTACAGCTGTTCACCCACTGCTGCTGGGGTCAAGTCCACTCAATAAGTTTCCCAGTTTTGGCTTAGCTTGTTTCTCCTTGGGCCTGGGCTTGCCTCCCTGCTTTCAAAGAGCCCAGGTCATGGTAAGCTGAAATCTTTTAGGCACTGGCTGAGGACTTAACCTGCACCACACAAGCTGAGGTGAGAACGCCCTGGAGCAGTTTATTGCAGGAAGTATAGCACGCGTGTGGGAGGGGCTCCTACAGAAGGAAGCTGGTGGGCTTTTTTGCTTAGGGATTTTTGTTAGGGTTAGGGAAACCTGTGTGATCTAGCTCTGCCTCTCTGTGATTGGGCTTTATGAATTTTGCTGCTTCCTCTGGGCTAATCACCAGGGCTGGTATGCAGTCTTCTCCTGTCACTTCTTATCACTGGAGTCTGCACAGGAGCCTGCTGTCGTGGCTTCTGATCACAGAAGTCAGCACACAGATTCTCTTAGCGGCTTCCAGTCACAGAAGCCTGAGTGTAAACTTTTTCTGTCACTTCTCCAGTGACAGTGACAGCCACTGCTCGCGTATGTTAGTGCTGCAGGAAGACAAGACCCAGGGGACACACCTGGGGGACATCAGGGGAACTAGTGTCACCAAGGGTCAGAACTATTATATATTTTTTAAAATTATTTTTCGTGGGAGATAGATATAGATATAGATATAGATATAGATATATAGATAGATATATATATATATATATAGATATGACATCAACTCAAACTCTATTGCTGTTAAGTCGTAAGTGACTCATAGCTGACCCTCCAAGCAGGTTTTCAGAGGCTGCAAACGGCACAGGAGAAGACTGCCCACCTTTCTCCTTTGCCTTTACAGCACACCACCAGAGCTTCTTATAATGAAGGTCGGCCAGTCTCTCTCTCTTTCTTCTTTCTCCTCCTGCTCCTTCTTCTTCCACTCTCTTCTCTCTCTCTCTCTCTCTCACACACACACACACACACACACACACACACACACAGAAATGTCCCCAGGTGTTGAGCCGTCTAAGACAGACATAGGGTCACTGGTTGGAACAGATATCTCATATTAACTTTATTTCCTGGTCATACGCCTTATTTTGCATGTTGGCAAAGGTGAGGAAGATTTGCTCCAGTGTTATCTGACTGAATGAATAGTCTTCTAAATTGAATAGCAGTTTAGCATCCTCCAAAATTCCAAACACCTTTAAAGGGAAGAAATAGTGGAATTACCAAAGCAATGCTCTAAGATGAGCTCTTTTCCCATCCCCACTGACTTCTAGTTTTCCTCAGGTTTGTGCTTAGGGTAAAAAAGATACAGAAAGAGGAGGTGACAAAGTGGAAGAGAAAAGATGAATTAAAACAGAGAAAATGAATAAAGACAGGTTTCCATTCTCATATGCTTGATGGACATGGGATATAAATACAAGTTAAGGGCAGACGTGTCAATGAAACTTCAGGGGCCTCTGAGGTTTTGTTCTTCCCCTGATGGTAGGTTCTGGTTGCAATGTTTGGGTCCCAATGCTTCCTATCTGCTAACACATGTTAGAAAGGTGGTTGTTGTTGTTGTTATGTGCCATCAAGTCACTTGTGACTCATAGCGACCCTATGTACAACAGCCCTGAACTCTGCTCTGTCCTATGCCAATCTCACTGTCTCCGACACACCTACCCTGATTAACCCAATCATTGAAACCAATCCACCTCATAGAGGGTCTTCCCCTCCTGTGCTGTCCCTCCACCCTACCAAGCATGACGTCCTTCTCCAAGGACCTGTCCCTCCTTAAAACATGTCCAAAGTTTGTCAAATGAAGCCTCCATATTTACCTTTTCCCAGGTGATTTCCTCACTGGGAATGTAGTAGTCAACAATCCCTTGATAATCCTGGTTTATGATGTTACCTGAGAGAAGAAAAATGTGACAGATGAGACTGACACAGTATTTGGTAGCTTCTAAGCACACCAAAGTAATTCCTATCCCAATTATCTACACTAATTCAAGACAGAATTTACGTAGATCACACAAAAGAGAATCTAACCCCCCAAAATAAAAAAAAAATTAAAAAAGAAAAAAGAGAACCTAACCCAAAAGTTATTCATTCTCCTTGGTCTACATGACCTGATTATCTCTATAAATTTACCTTCATACAGTCTTACTGCCTATTGTTTATAAAAATCACAAAGGGTGGGGTTAATTAACTTTGCTGTTATTGTGCACTGTGTCATAGCTGACCCTCCAGTGGGTTTTCAGAGGCAATACATTTTATAGGAGGAGAGACTGCCCATCTTTCTCCCATAGGGCAGCGGATGGTTTTGAACGATGAGACTTTGAGTTGATAATGTAAGTCCTTACCACTAAGCCTCTGGAGCTCATAGAAAGAAAACAGCTCACAACAAACAACAAAGGCTGGCGAGGTTGCAGAGAAACTGGAACCCTTATTTACTGTTGGTGGGAGTGTAAAATGGTGCAACCACTGTGGAAGGCTGTATGGTGCTTTCTCAAAAAGTTGCAAACAGAAATACCATTTGACCCAGCAATTCCATTACTGGGAATATACTCTAAAGAAACCATAACTGTCACCCAAGCAGATATATGCACACCAATGTTCATTGCGGCTTCGTTCACAATAGCAAAGAGTTGGAAACAACCTAAGTGCCCATCAACAAATGAATGGATAGAGAAACTGTGGCATATTCACACAATGGAATACTACACTGCACTGAAAAACAAGGAACTCATGCAATATTATTCAAAATGGGTGACCCTGGAGGACATTATGCTGAGTGAATTATCTCAGTCACAAAGGACAAATATTGCATAGTGCCACTGTTGTAGAATGGGACTGATATCAGGATTGGGGTGAGACAGAACAACTGGATAAATTATGCATACTGCACTGGTCCTCAAACTGACATCATTATTCCTCAATAATTTGGAAAGGTCCCTAACTGCAGATTTTCCCATTGCAATGTGTCTCCTTACTTGTTAATTGTGGATCTAAGCAAGATCTGAAGGCAAGATCTGTTGACAGTTTCAATCTCCTCTCCATCCATCATGACACTGCCTATTGGTCTAGTGGTAAGAATAATTGTTTTCTTAATATTGAGATGCAACCCGTACTGAAGGCTGCATTCCTTGATCTTCTGCAACGTGCTTCAAATCCTCCTCATTTGTAAGGTTGTGTCATCTGTATAAATGCTCCCCCCCACCCCAACCTTGGTCTAGCAGTGAGAAGGTCAAGGTGTGTATTTCACTGGCTAAGTCTGTAGTCAGGGAAATCTCCAAATTATTAAGAAGCAATGTCCTTCTGATTCAGACCATGGTCTTTTCAGTCTCTTGCTTTACATCTGAGAACTGGACAATGACTAAGGATGACAGAAGAAGAATTGATGGCTTTGAATTGTGCTGGAGAAGAGTGCGGTCTATCCCATAGATTGCCAAAAAACCCTAAACAGCTATGTCTTGGAGAAAGTGCAGCCAGAGTGGTTGTAGAAGGCAAAGATGATAAAGCTTCAGATCACATACTTTGGGCATGTTGCTAGGAGAAGTTATTCCTTGGAGAGGGACATCATGCTTGTGAAGATGGAGGGATGGCGAAGGAGAGGAAGGCCCTCAGTCAGGTGGACGGACACAGTGACTGCAGCCATGGGCTTCAGAGACTGTGAGGACGGCACAGTGAGGATCGGACAGTGTTCTTCTGATATGTTGTTCACAGGCTCACTATCAGTAACACTCAACTAGAAGACACCTAACAACAACAACAACAACAACAACATGCAGTGTGAGTTCTCGGATATTTCTTGTCATTGCAGCGTTGGGCATCTCATCTGCATATAGTCATCCTAGGATGCGAGTTGTTTTAGCAGACCTTTTCTTGACAAGATATCCCTGGCCACACCCACTTGCTAAACTAATTGTTGGTCTACCTAGCAAGGAATTTCTGACCTAATAATATGCCAGGATAAGAGAAATTGGGGCTCTGCATTGTGGCACAGTAAGCTAGGTCTTACACAGCTACCTGAAAGATTAGCAGTTTGAATTTACCAGTTTCTCTGCAGGAGAAAGGTGGACAGTCATTTCCTGTAAAGATTAGCACCACGGAAACCTGATGCAGGACTGCGACTTCATTATTTGACTTGTGGGAAGGAGTTTGGTTTGAGGTTCATTCTTACTATTCCATGTTTCAAATGAAGCCTCAACCCTTAAGGTGGGGATCTCAGTTTATCCGTCTTGCAGTGGGTCCGAAGTTTCATCTTCCACTGGCATTTCTTCAGGGCAGTGCAATATTTGCATTTTATTATCGCTACTCTGGTGGCTAGGTGTTAAAGAGTTGCACTGTTGACTCCAAGGAACGCAGGTGGAACCCACTAATTGCTCCACCGGAGAAAGCAGAGCCATCGCCTTCTATGTGATTCACAGCCTCTCGAGAACCCAATGGAGGGTAATCCATGAGTCAATTCCAACTCATAGCAACTGGGTACAGAACAACTAGGCTACTACTAACGTTGTTGTTGTTACTGTGTACTGTGGAGTCAGAACTGGCCCATTACTTGCCTCTTGGGAGGAAGCTAGCCCATCTCCCCTCATTACAATTTACTGTCTTGAGAACCTGATGGATGACTAGGTGGCAGTCAGTATATCATTTTGCCATATTGTGGAAAGGTGAGAAGCTCTTATCTTTGTCATCCCTTACAATGGTGCATTCTACAACTAGTAAGATGTGTATGAAAGTCTAAGGTGGGAACGGGAGGGAGCAGAGAAGCTGGGGGTGAGGTGGGGAAATTATGGGGTTGCAGAGTTTTGGGGATGGAGGGAGTGAATGAAGGAATTAGGAAAGATTCAGTAAGGTTCTGAAAAGACGGGGTAATAGCAGGCATAGATCAACAGTGATTCATTTTCTAAAATATGATGTATCGGAATGATCATATGAAACACAATGTGAATGAAGGAATGTGTGAAACTCAATGTATATGAATGAAACAAAATGTATATGAATTTTGTATGCACTCTGACATAAAATAAAAACAATGGTGTATTCTCTTAAATTATTTGTGATTAGAGAAAACCTTTATCTGAAATTATTTTCTAACTCTACCAGTTAATCTTCAACTGAAGTGTATATTTAAGTGCTTTTTACTTTTTAAAAGTCACTTTTTCTTTTCTTTTTTCTTTTGATTGCTGTTGAGTTGAGCACGACTCACACAGCGACTCTATGAAAAAAAGACCTGAAGCCTTTCTCTAACTAAAGTTCATAGTTTCCAGAGGCATGCTGTTTAGGAAGTGGATGCCACTCCTGCTTCCAAATGTTTAATTAGGTACTGGATTATTCCTCTAAAACTATGTTATGTCTATACTTTCAGAACATAAGAGGCCAGGAGAAGAGTTGCTTGCTAGTATAGGAAAGGTAAGCTGTAATGCACAATCTTGTAGCAACAGATTATTAGTAAAGATGAGATATGCCACCAAGAGAGAAAAGAATAGATTGAAAAAGTACTTATTTCAGTAACTTTACTAATATGTGTTGTTGTTAAGTGCCATCGCGTCATAGATGACTCATAGCGACCCTATGAATGAAAGATCAGAACACGTGTATAACTTTCATCCTTTCTCCAGGTTCATAGGGTTTCTGGAGGCAAGCTATTTATGGAAGTGGATGCCACTCCTGCTTCCAAGCTTGTTTCAACCGGGGAGCTCCACCAAACACTGTCTGCCATGGGTAACTATTATCACATTACTATATTATTTTTGGTACTAAATTTTTTGTCATACACTAACAGGAGAAATTCTTTGAGAAGTTGTTAACATTTGTGAATATCCTATTGACTATATTTCAAGTACTGCTTCAAGTAGAACTTAAATTTTCATACTTGATTGAGAAATTACCATTAATTTTGACCATGTCATGCCTGTTTTTTTTTGAAAAAATGTCTGTCAACTTTCTGAAAGATCAAACCTTCTTCTCTAAATGAATAAGGTCTCATCCACTCACTCTCTTTGATGGAAATACTGTGCAAGAAGGTAAAAAAAATCCATCTGAAGGAGGTCAACAATGGAAACAATAAATCCAGTTTATCTTTTATGTCTTCCTTTTTGTGCATAAAAACACAGTGGGTGAAAAGGAGAGTTATCTTCCATTTATTTCTTTCAAGTATAAAATATTTTAATAGATTCAAAATTAAGTGTACTTGTTTATTACTGAGAAAAAAGATTACTTGAATAATAAGCATGGCAGATGATCCACTTTCTTTTTAATTAAGGGGTTTGTGATTAAATAAAGAAAATCTAATTTCAAATCAACATCAGTCAATGATTTAGCAGTTTTACAGAAGTATACCTAATTAACAAATAAGATGATGGCACAGGAAATTATTTCATACTGATCTAGATGCTTTAAACAAAAGATGGTCCTTTTCCAAATGAGATATTAAAAACTTCTTTAAATTAGGTTCATGATACATTTTCTCAATTATTTTCCAATATATTTCAACTGCAGGAAAAGAAATAGTCTGCTTCACAGAATGTAGTTTTATGAAGTTACACTCTTTTTCTTCAGCCTTTCCTATATACCAGATCTTACTTATGTAATGAATATAGTATTATTGCAAGGCTTCTCCCTTTGAGCCAAACTGTTAGCTAGCAACTCGTCTGCATAATAGGGCTGACCAACAAGATACCATGGCTTTCTTCAGAAGAATCTCCTGTGTATTCCTTTTTTTGTATACTACTTAAATAAAGGTCCATTGTTTGCTGTTGTTATGTGCCATCAAGTCACTTGCGACTCATAGAGACCCTATGTACAACAGCCCTAAACTGCTCTGTCCTGTGCCAATCGTACTGTCTCCAACACACCCACCCTGATTACCCCAGTCACTGAATCAATCCACTCATAGAGGGTCTTCCTCTCCTGCACTGTCCTTCCACCCTCCCAAGCATGATGTTCCTCTCCAAGGACCTGTCCCTCCTTACAACATGTCCAAAGTATGTCAGACGGAGCCCCAGAATCCTTGCCTCCAAGGAGCAGCATGGTTTAACCCTCTCCAGGATGAATCTGTTTGTTTTCCTAGCAGTCCATGGTACACTCAATACTCTTCTCCAGCACCACGGCTCAAAGGCATCAATTCTCCTTCTATCCTCCCTAGTCATTGTCCAACTCTATGACACATAACAAGTGATTGCAAAGGCCATAGCCTGTCTCAGATGCACCTTAGTCTCCAGAGTGACACCACTGCTATTTAGTACTTTGGAGAGGTCCCTAATAGCAGACTTTCTCATCGTAATATGTCTTTTAATTTCCTGGCTGCTGGTGTCAAGAGTGTTGACTGTGGAGCCAAGCAAACTGAAGCTGTGAACAATCTCAATTTCTTCACCATCCATCCTGATGCTGCCAATTGGTCCAGTGGTGAAAATCCTTGTCTTCTTTATACTGAGCCTCAATGTAAGTTTCCTTTTATTTTGCTGTATTTAAAGGGACAATTTGGGCTTGTAACAGCTCAGTGATAGTGGGGGGAAGACTGGTATATGGTCAACCTGACATTTGAGCATATTGTATCAACAAATAGTTAACAAGCAAACTATTGCTGTCACCTATTTGGGAAAAATCCGTTTTTAGTTTTTAGTGTCCTTCCTCCCCTTTGTGTTTTGAGCAGAATTTTGGACTGTGGTTAATTCAGGTTCTACAAACATTTCTATAGGAAGTGACCCATAACAACAACAGCAACAATGCTGGGTTCAGAAAGAAGCAGAAACTGGCTGTAAATTGCTGTACTATTGACCACATGCACAGAAAGTAGCTCATTGACATTAGCATGCAGAAGCAGAATGATTTTTAGATGTCACACCTCCAGACAGTAGAAAAGGAAGCTATTATTTATCTTTCATAAGCATTATCTTTGATGAATATCATCAAATGGCAGAGGATACTTGCTTAAAAAGAGGATACTTGCTTAAAAAGAAGAAAAAGCTTTCTAAATGGAAAGGATACATAACATTTAGACTCAATACATATTAACAGTTTTACCTTACTGGTTGAATCCTACAAAAGACTGCCAAGCCCTCTGCTATTTTGTGGAAGTTTCTTAGCATAGTCACGGATAAGATGTTCACAGAAAAAACGATTCCAAAAGACACTTAATTTAAAAGTTCATTAAACTCACAGGACAATGTTAACTACTGAGGACACGGTAGCAAAACAATTAGAACTCAGCAGTTTTCACACTTAAGGTTCTCCTGTGTTACCTGGGAAAGCAGTTGCGATGAATTCTTTGAACTCCTCTAGTTTACTTTTGTCCTTGTCCATGTTAACTTTGGCTTTCAGGTTGTACACGTTACCAAACTTATTCTTGAGATACTGCGGACTGCCAAGACATGCAAATCTCCCTTTCAACATGATGGCCAGCCTGGTACAGAGCTCCTCACATTCCTCCATGCTAGGGAGACAAAGGAGCTAATTAGGGCTAGAGGAGCTTTCCTTTAAGGAGAAAATTCTGCAGTTCAAGCAGAGCCGGGATTAGTGGGTAACCTTTGTGAGGGGGAAGGTGTGGCATTGTAGTAGATCCACACTGAGACCCTATTAGGGGAACTCTGGTGGCTTAGTGGTAAGGAATTGTGCTGCTAACCCCAAAAGTATGTGGTTCAAATCCACCAACTACTCTGTGGAAAAGGATGGGCAACCTCCTCCCATGCAAATGAAAACCTGCTGGAGGGGCAGGGGTTAGGTAATGGTCGGCTCCAACTCAACAGTATACAACAACAATAACGAGGTCATATTACAAAGAGGAGATTTGAAAATATGAAGAGCTGACGCCTAAGTCCCCAACAGAAATAGGCTCTGGCTTCTTGCAGAACTCATCAGCAGAATCAGGAGATTCTTTAGCAGAATCACTTTCTAAACATAGCCCCTCCTTGTAGCTCATACAATTAGCCAAGCTCATAGTCTTAGTGCCATGAATTCCGTCTTACATCCATTGCAACCACTGGTACCCTCTAAACAAGCCTCTAAAGGGGCCATACCTGTCGGAAGCTATCACAATAGCTTTGCCAGTTTTACAGATCTGTTTAATTGTGTCCCTGATGAGGTGTCGAACTGCTGGGTCCATACCAGTAGACGGCTCATCCAGGATAATAACCGAGGGCCTTCCCATTAGGGCAACAGCAGTATTTAGTCTACGTCTGTGTCCTCCACTATTGGGCCAACAAAGGAGAGAGAAAAGAGCGAGAGAAAGGAAGAAGAAAAGAGCCAGATGCCATTCATTAATAGGAAACAATTAGGTCAGTAATCCAATACTGATTTCATCAGACTGATAAACCATCAGAACTAAGCTCTGGGATGTATGTGTGGTGTGCCTTAAATCACTGCCAACAAAATGCCCCCCCTTTTTTGTAATTTACTTACGTATTATTATTTGGGACATAGTTTTTCCTTCAGAGACAATCATAAGGGGACAGAGATGAAGATGTTCTTTGTTTGAAATGCAGAGGCTTGTATCTCTGAAATGGTGAACCCATACCACTGAGCTCTGCCTTATTCCTGACATATACATGCAGTCATTGTTTCTGCGTGACACGGGTTTCAGGTTGAATTTCTAGCCATTTGTGTCCCAAAGCAGAAATACCAGAGGTAACAGAATGATTGCAATCTAATGTCTCACCTGTATGTGCAGACAAGCTTGTCAGCATGGTTTACCAGGTGCACTGAATGCAAAAAGCCTTCCACATACTCATAAATGTTGGGTTCAGGGACCCCCCACAGCCTAGCATACATGATTAGCAATTCCCGACCAGTCAAGTAGTTCAGTGTTGGGTCGGATTGTGGACAGTAGCCAATTCTTGACCTAACCTGAATGAAAAGGATAACCATGAGCAACTGATTCCAGTCAACAATTTCACTGAACATATATACCCTCTATTAACAAGACAGCGTCGAGGACTCTCCTTCATAAGGTTGCTATGAGTCGCCTGCGACTCTACGGCACTTAACAACAACAACATTAACAAGACAAAAGTCCTTGGCCTATGATACTAAGAAGGTTGCTTCTTTTGTGAGTGAGAAGTCTGTCATCTCTTCCAATCTACAGAATCTTTGCAGGTGGATTCCAGTGTAGTAAAATGGAACAATACCACTATGAATTAGGCTTTATAACATATATTCATTATGCATCACAATGTACGTAAGGTAAATTTTCTTGAGAGTGGGTGAGGAGGCTTACTGAACGTTTTTGCAAAGATGCAATCTATAGAATAAATTAAAATAATATAAATAAGATTATATAAAATAATATAGCAATTAAAATATGTAGAATTATATATACAGAAAATTATAAAGTTGATGAAAATAATATAGACTATATATTATATAGAAATAATAGTATATAAATTAAAAATAATATCACTTCCAGTAATAGCTGAGTAGCTTCTCTTGGACTGTTAACCCTCCCAAATTCAACAATTATCATCTCCCTTTCTTTCTCTCTGTGGGTAGACTTTAGCCAATGAAGGTTAAAAGAACTCAACGGATATGTAACAGAGGTGACAGAGCTTACAGTGTGACCCTAAACCCAATGTTGCTGAGGCAATTCCAAATGATAGCAATCCTCCATCGGATTTCTAAGACTCTCAGTCTTTATCGAAGGAGACTACCTAACTTTCTGTTGCTGAATGGCTGATGAATCTAAACTGCTGACCACAGAATGTGACCAGCCCAACAAGTTATGCATCATGATACCAGGGCTCCTACTATGAATCTAGTTATCTCAAATGCCTGTTAAAATCATTTTAAAATATTTGAAAACCTGTAGAATAGAATTCTAAACTTCTAGAATATATTATTAACAATATTAGGGCTACAATATAAAGTTAATTGACAATTGAAGAAATACGGGAAACATTACCTAATTTCAATAGAAAACAAACAACAAAAGTGAAAATGTTCAAACTACTGAAACGATCAGAAAATAATTTTTCATAGTTCTCTATCTTTACTTCCATTTTTTAAAAAAAGTTATACTAGTTTATTTACAAAATTAAAATACATTGTTTTTCAGACCAGATTCGTCCAATTTCATTCACCCACTCACCCAACAAATTGTACAACTCCATGATTAATTTCCCTCACCAACCTGCTCATCCTCATCCCTCTGCTTCCACCCTCTACCTGCCTTGGATCTTCATACTCATTCTACAGTAATGGTTTTGTACAATATTTGTCCTTGTGGGACTGACTTAGATCACTCAACATCATGTTCTCCAGTCCCTCCCCAGTTAGGTAGTACTTTTTAAAATCCTACATGCTGTGTAGCATTCCATTGAGTGAATGTACCATAATTTCTCAATCCATTTGATTGTGGTTGGACATCTGGGCTGTTTCCATGTTCTTGCGATGGTGAATAATGCTGCTATGAACACTGGGGTACAAGTCTCCATTTGTGCCTCAGTTCTAATTTTCTCAGGGTATATTCCAAACAGTTGGAATAGGTGGGTCATATGGAATTTCTAGGTTTAGCTTTTTGAGGAAGCACCAAACTGCCTTCCAGAGTGGTGCCGTTTTACAATCCTGCCAACAATGTATAAGAGTTCCTATCTCACCACCTCCTCTCCAACATTTTACTTACTGACCTGTTAAACTCTGCCACTGTTACTTGGAGTGAGATGGTATGTCATTGTGGTTTTGATTTGCATCTCTTCTTATTGCCAGTAATTTTGAGCATTTCTTCAGGTGTCTGTTGGCCATTCAAATATCTTCTTCTGTGAAAATTCTTTCCATGTCTTTTGCCCATTTTGTAATTGGGTTATATCAGTCTTTTTTTTTTTTTTGAGGCCCAGGAGTATCCTGTAAACTTTCATTATGAGACTCTTGTCTGAGATGGTATTACCAAATGTTTGTTCCCAGTCAGAAGGTTCTATTCACCCTGTTGGAAAAAGTTTTTGATGTGCACAGGGATTTAATCTTTAGAAGGTCCCATTCATCAATTTTATCCTCTTCAGACTGTGCATTTCTGGCTGTATTTGGCAGCCTTTTAAACCGTAGACTAAGACTTCTAAGCTTGATCCCAATTTTTCTCTTATGCACTTTATGGTCTTGGGCTTTAACCCAGGTCTCTGATCCACCTTGAGTTGATTTTGTGTATGAGGTAAAATGTGGATCTGTTTCAGCTCAGAAAATAATTTTAAAGAAATTTATAAACATGATAAAAGAATTAAGAAAGAATATTATTGCAGTGAGAAAAGGTTTACAATCTTAAAAGAGAAAAAAATATAAAACAATCAACTGGCAATTCCAGAACTGAAAGCTACAGGATAGGAAATAAAAATTCACTAGATGATCTCAGCAATGGATTGCAGATAAGGAAAAAAGATCCAGCAAACCTGTAGAATGATAAAAATCACCTAATCTAAAAAGATAAAAAGTGAAAAGAGAATCTGTATGCAATGTAAGAACTCAAGGTTTAATATCTATGAAAATGAACTCCTATTAGGAAAGCAGAACAAGAACTAAAGGACATAATTTTGCTAAAACTTTCTCTATTTGAAGCAAAATTCAAATATATAGATTTAATAAGCTTACTGAATCCCTGGAAAGAAAGCAGTGAAGAAAATCATGCTTAAAAATCGTGAAGTAAAAAAACAACAACAACAAAAAAACAAACCCATGAAGTCAACCTGCTGAGAACCAAAGAAAAAGAAAACAAAACAAAACAATTATATAAGAAGAAAAATTAGGCGAGCTCTGGTGGCCTAGTGGCAGGAAAATGCACTGCAATCCCAGAAGTGCACGGTTCAAATCCACCAGATGCTCTCCTGAAGAAGGAGGAACAGTCGCCTCCTGTACCAGTCAGATCCAATTTGACGGTACACGCATAAAAAAAAAACAAAACCAAAAAACAAAACCAAAAAAAACTCATCCAATCCATTTAAAAAAAAAAAAAAGAAGAAAAATTAAATGTTTCAGATTTATAATTAGAAATACTGAAAACAGGAACATCCATAAAGTATAGAATTTTAAATCCAGTAAAAATAAGCCTTAAACAATTGAGGCAGTTAAATTCATTTTTTATTTTTGTAAAATTTTTATTTTATACTGGTTTACTTGCAAAGTTCAGTATGTTTTTCATACTGGATGTTTCATTTCCTTTATCCACCCCTCCCTCCACCCATCAAATTGTGCAACCCTATGATGACCCCCCCTCCAGCTTTACCCCTCTGCTGTCCCCCCCCGTTGGATTCTCATACACATTTTACTAGTTATCAATTTCTATAATAATGGTCTTATATAATACTTTTCCTTATGGGACAAATATTAGATCACTTAACATAATGCTCTCCAGTCCCTCACAAGTTAGGTAGTAATATTCAAAATCATTGCTCCTACATGCTGCATAGTATGCCATCATGTGAATGCACCGTAATTTCTTAATCTATTTGATTGTAGTAGGATATCTGGGTTGTTTCCATGTTCTTGCGAAGGTGAATAATGCTGATATGAACACTGGCATACAAATTTCCATTTGTGCCTTAGTTCTAATTTTCTTGGGGTGTATTTCAAGCAGTTGGAATAGCTGGGTCTTATGGAATGTCTATGTTCTGCTTTTTGAGGAAACATCAACCTGCCTTTCAGAGTAGTTGTACCATTTTATAATCCCAACAGCAGCATATAAGAGTTCCTATCTCACAACATCCTCTCCAACATTTATGACTTGCTTTCCTGTTAAACTTTGCCACTGCTACTGGGGTGAGATGGTATCTCATTGTGGTTTTGATTTGCATCTCTCTTATTGCCAGTGATTTTGAGCATTTCTTCATGTGTCTGCTGGCCATCCTAATAACTTCCTTTGAAAAGTCTTTCAATGTTTTTTGCCCATATTTTAAAAAAAAGTTTTAATTGATATTTTAATGAAAGTTTACCTGAAAGTTGAGTTTCCATTTACACATTGAACAATTTCCTCCCTCCCCCTACACCTCTTATTCAGGACTGTTGTCATGCAAATACTACCTAATTATATATTTATTTTAGACAGTTCTTTCTCTCATCCATTTTAATGCAGTGTTCATTATTTATCCTCTCTTTTCTTAGTTTCCCCTCCAATCTCCATATCAGGCCTATTTTATAACAGGGGCATTATGCAGTATTTGACCTTTTGTGACAGAGATATTTCACACAGCATAATGTCCTCCAGGGTCACCCATTTTGTATAATATTTTATGAACTCCCTGCGTGAATATACCACAGCTTCTCTATTGATTCATTTGTTGATGGACACTTTAGTTGTTTCCATCTCTTTACTATTGTGAACAATGTAGCAATAAACATGGGTATGCATATATCTGCTTGGGTGGCAGTTCTGGTTTCTTTAGGGTATATTCCCAGTAGTGGAATTGCTGGGTCAAAAGGTATTTCTATTTCCAACTTGTGGAGAAAGCGCTATACTGCCTTCCATAGTGGTTGTACCATTTTACACTCCCACCAACAGTGAATAAGGGTTCTAATTTCTCCACAATCTTGCCAACATCTGTGGCTTGCTGCTCTGTTAAGTTTTACTATTCTTACTGGGATGAGATGATATATCTTAGTTGTTTTGATTTGAATCTCTTTTAGAGCTAGGGATTTTGAACATTTCTTCATGTGTTTGTTCGCCATCTGAAAGTCCTCTTGGGTGAAGTGTCTATTTATATCCTGTGCCCATTTTGCAATTGGGTTGTTTACCTTTATCTTGTTGAGGGGCTGGAATATTCTATAAATTCTAGATATAAAAAGACATGTCATAACCGAATACTTCTTCCCAGTCTGTGGCTTTCCTTTTTACCCTGCTGGAAAATTTTTTTGATGTGCAGAGGGAGTTTATT